TTACTTTGGTCTTTACTATTGGGGCATTCCTGCTTCATATGATCTGGCTTTTCTCATTGAAAACAACTTGGATTTTTATCCCTTTTTACTTTTTGAGGCTTTAATGCCATAGCCAATATTCTGGCTTTGTGTGTTTCAGTCCCCACCAGCTGACATGCTCATATGAGTTCCCTACTGTAGGTGCTTTCCCTCTGACTGCTTGCATTGCTTGCTGGCAATCCACATTAGCATTTTCATAGACCAATTACAACAATAAGATATCAGCGGCCTTGGCATGACTGATTTGTCTCTTAAGTGCCTGGGTTAACCGATTGATAAATTCAACAAATGGCTCCTGAGGCCCTTGTGGAACATTTATAAAAGATCTCTGTTGAACTCCACCTTCGGGAATTTGGTCCTAGGCCCCGTGAGTGCACAAAGATAGTTGCGCATAGGCTTGAGGGACAAAATTTAATTGTTGTTATATATTAATATAGGGACCCCTCCCCTGGAGCACAGCAGCTATGTTCTGTCCTGCCAATTGATTCTGGTCAGCCCGTTGTTCGCACAATTCATTATATTCTGCCCTCTGGAGGAGGTATTGACTGGCCTCTAAAGTTGTTTTAGCTAGCACTGACCAGTCCCATGGAGTCAATATGGTAGTTATCTGCTATAGCCTCAATTATCCTCTTGTGAATGGGCTAGCAGGTCCATTTTCTCTAATGCTTTTCCTTATTTCCTTAAAAGTGTTGAAAGTAATAGGCTTCTGTACCCAATTGGCCTGTTGATCTTGCACCACGGGACAAGCCAGGAGCTCCCCTTCTAATGCTGCTTGCCTAAGACGGGGTCCCATAACTGTAGTATATCTCTTGTCTTCTTCCCAATTTATTGGGGGAGGAGACTTAGGAAACACCTCCGTCTCCTCTTTGGTATCTTTACCCGGGTAATGGCGGGGCTGAAGGAGGAGGAGGAGGCAGTAAGGTAGATGATGGTTCTTCCTCCCCTTCTTTTTTAGGCTCTTCTGTGTAGAGCAGGACCAAAGCAGCCCTAACCAAGGCCCATAACATTAAAGATGTTACTGGGACCTGTTGCCCTTGTACCTGATGTTGTTTAAGATTTCTTCCCAATTGCTTCCAGAGCCCTAGGTCTAGTGTGCCTTCTTCTGGGAATCATGGGCTATGGAATACAACAGTTTGCATTACACCCCTTAATTGAGCCTCCGAAACCAAGGTTCTGCTAGCTTTAAGCAGCTGTTTCAATACTTTTACATACTGTTGCTGTTGAGCTGATAACTGTTGTCCCATGATGAAACCCTAGCTTGAGAATCCCCTTGAACTTGGAAATCCCCAGCGGGGACCAATTACTTACTGAGCAGTCACTTCACATTAATTTTCGAGGGTTCGGTCCAGATCCGTTGCAGTGTTCCTCACACTGGGGACCACCTGCCAGATCTGTCCCGCAGACCCTGACTGACTGACTGACTGACTGACCGATGGAAAGAGTACTCACACACAGGTATGCAGTGTGTAAGAGCAGCTAGGAGTCACCTGGCTCAAGTGGCCAAAGTGCAGCCCCGAGAAGCTGGAGCTGCTTGCTTTTATTCAGTGCAGGCAGAATGCTGAAAGCCTGGGGCAAACACAGTCTGTGGGTAATTAACATTTATTGTTCCCCTTTCAGGGAATGTCACACACATGGATGTTCAAAGGTGAATTTCCGGATAACTTCAAACAAACAAGCCTGATCAAGATAATTTCCCCTTGCTCCCTTGCACATACTCCTCACTCTCTGCCTCAAGGTTAACAGCTGCCTTCAGCTATTCTCCCGAAGTTGTGCAGAGCCTTGCTATAAGCTCCTCTAACTCTGCCTATATAAATGAAATCTGAACTTCCCTATTTCAGAATTATATCTCTATTACTTTGGATTTGGTGTTTCCAGGTGGTCCATCCTTATGTTTTGTGCTTGAATAAATTCTTTATATTCTTCATGGTGCAAGAAGAAGGGCTTAAACAAAAACAATAAAAATATATTCTGACTCTTTTGGTTATTTTTGTTTGATAAGTTGTATACATTATTTTCTCCATGGGACAATGTTTCCTGTCCTAGATAATAAGGACCATGTGTGGTTCACCTTTGTGGTTTGATTCAAGTAATGTGGGCATTTCAGATGTGAAAGACTTTGAGGAACAAGGCAGACTACCTTGAAATGAGAAAGCTGAGGTTTTAAAGCAAAAGGTGGCCAGGCATGGTAGCTCACGCCTTTAATCCCAGGACTTTGGGAGGCCGAGACGGGCGGATCACCTGAGATCGGGAGTTTGAGACCATCCTGATCAACATGGAGAAACTTCATCTCTACTAAAAATGCAAAATTAGCCGGGTGTGGTGGTGCACACCTGTAATCCCAGCTACTCGGGAGGCTGAGGCAGGATAATCACTTGAACCCTGGAGGCAGAGGTTTCAGTGAGCCAACATCATGCCATTGCACTCCAGCCTGGGCAACAAGAGTGGAAGTCCATCTAAGAATAAATAAATAAATAAATAAATAAAGCAAGCGAAAGGCAAGGTTGAATCATATTGGTGGGGGTCGGGGGAGTCAATGCATAAAGAACATTGACACCAATAGGTATGTCTCCAATGCTGAGATGAGAAAATCCGGGAAGATAGAGCACAGGACTAAGGCAGGTAGCATTGGAGCTTCTTCTGTACCTGATTGCTGACTAGAATGGATATTTGTAATAGCATAGCCAGACACAGTAGCTCATGCCTGTAATCCTAGCAGTTTGGAAGGCCAAGGCAGGTGGATCACTTGAGCCTGAGAGTTTGAGACCAGCCTGGGCAACATGGCAAAACACCATCTCTACAAAAAATATTTTAAAATGTGCTGGGCATGTAGGTGTGTGCCTGCGGTCCTAGCTACTTGGGAGGCTAAGGTGGGATCACCTGAGTCCAGAGATGTTGAAGCCGCAGTGAGCTGTGATCACACCACTGTAGTCCAGCCTGGGTGACAGAGTGAGACCGTGTCTCAAAAAAACAAAACAAAAAAGCAGAGTACCATTGGACTTCAAACTCAGCCCAATCTCATTCACTTTAGGCATTGAGTCTGACCATGTAGCCCTGACTTCATTTTTCAAGGTGTTTTTCTGATTTACCAAGTCCTATGCTGATTGCAAACAGCTACATTTGAAGTTAGTGCCGTCTGTTCATGTTAAAATGAACATTTGATTCTAGTTAGAGATGCATTGTTTTCTTATCTTCCTAACTGAAGCAATTCTTGCCAACATTTACTGTTTTTTTTTTTTTTTTAGACAGGGTCTCTCACTCTGTCACCCAGGCTGGAGTGCAGTGGTGCAATCTTGGCTCACTGCAACCTGCACCTCCCAGGTTCAAGTGATTCTCCTGCCTCAGCTTCCCGAGTAGCTGGGATAATTGGTGCAGGCCATCATGCCCAGCTAATTTTTGTATTTTTAGTAGAGATGGGGTTTCACCATGTTGGCCAAGGCGGGTCTCCAGGTCCTGACAGGTGATCCGCCCGCCTCAGCCTCCCATAGTGCTGGGATTACAGGCGTGAGCCACTGCACAGGCCTTCCCTTCCTTCAGGATTAAATGTAAATATGATAGCTGGAGCTGGAACAGTGATATATTCAGAAAGACAAAATTACAATGTCATGCAGAGAACTACTTTAATGCAATGATAGCCTCCAAATACACTACCAGGCAGGCTGTTCCAGAGGCTGTGAATAGAAAGTCTCATAGCCCAATATAAGTTTCCTGAGCTCCATGGCTTAATTTTACTGAATCAATTTGAAACATGTAGCAAGAAGCAAGCAGAAAGAGCTTTGGCAAGTGAACACATTTCAGATAGGTTGTAAATGGCAGTCTCACTACCTGAATCCTTGGTTATGCATGTCATATGTGTGAGGTTTCTCTCTCCCTCTTGCATATTTTGCCCACTGAGAGGGTGATTTCGAGAAACAGAGTTCATGATAAGAAAAGGAGTCAGCAGATGCAAATTATGTGGAGCCAACACACGCTTGCTCTATTGGTATACAGCCACCTATATTGCTCAATAGTGGTATGCTGACCAGCCATGCCTTTTATATGCATGCTGTCTGTAGAGGGCCAATGAGGCCAGCCAAAACTGGTGTTAACAGTGGGCGGTCAATTTATGACCCCGTAAATATTGAGTACTTTATAAATATGTGGTGTCTCACAAATATCCAAAGGTTTTTGGTTCTTTCATCTATTCCTGTCTCTTGAGTAGCACACACACAAGCCCTGCTGACTTTCTCTATGTCTAACACGTCTCACAGGCTACTCATTTATGATTGATTAAGAATATAGGCTTTGATTTTTGTCTACATTTCACAGACTTCTTGTATAGGTAATACTTAACACTTCCTATGAATTTCATCTGTCCCATTTGTTGGGTTGGTACTCCACAGGAGAATTCAATAGCAGAATATATTCGAGAGTATTTCAAATAATAAGAAACACTTTACATTTATATATAGAGGACAAACACATTTTATGTATATATGTATGTATGAGATACATATATATATATAGAGAGAGAGATAATTTTTTTTTTTTTTTTTGAGATGGAGTCTTTCTCTGTAGCCCAGGCTGGAGTGCAGTAGTGAGCTCTCGGCTCACTGCAAGCTCCATCTCCGGGGTTCACGTCATTCTCCTGCCTTGGCCTCCCGAGTAGCTGAGACTACAGGCGCCAGCCACCACGCCCAGCTAATTGTTTGTAGTTTTAGTAGAGACAGGGTTTTACTGTGGTAGCCAGCATGGTCTCCTGGCCTCATGTTCCGCCTGCCTCTGCCTCCCAAAGTGCTGGGATTACAGGCGTGAGCCACCGTGCCCGGCCGCGACACAGGGAATTTCTAAGGATATCGGAACTCCCATGTCTGAGCTGTATTAGGTTTGTGTGAGGGAAAAGTAGACTTTCATTTTCATTAACTAGTAACTATTTTAAGTTGTTACTTCCAGAGGTATCATATACTAACTCACACAGGTGGACATTAAAAAAACCTTTTATTAAAAAATTATTTGCATAAATATACAATATTTGCTGTCTTATAGTATTCTATATTTCAGTGAGGTCATACATTTTAGTAAAGCAATTCTATGAAATCCTTGTAAACCACTGATGAGACACGACCAGATGAGAATATAAATGGGTAGCCCCTATTTGTAACCATAGTTCCATCAATATAGACTTGAACTCTGTGCTCTCTCCCTTCCTCTGTCATGGCTCTCTTGCTCTCTCCCCATCCCTCCTCCCTGGCCACTAGGGAGGAGGCAAGAATATCTACTTTTGAATTCCATGCTGCTGGCTCTTCTTCTGCCATCTCTTTTGCTCCACCCTCCATCCAGAACTACCTCCAGGAACTTGCAAGTTTTCAAGATTATGTTAATTCAGCTTTTGCCAATTTAAATTCAGTCCCATCAAAAGCCCGTTAAAAGAAAAACATGACCTTCAGACTTACGTTTCTTTCTTTAGTTTGTGAGTTTATTGTATAAATATCCACTTTAGATTTCAATCCAGGTAAAGGACAGGGATAGTTTCTATCTTTCTCACTGCTCTTTCCTAAGTATTTTCTGTAATTTAATAGGTTCTCAGTAAATGAATAAATTCAAAGTACTAGTCCATCCACCAGCTATTTTGAAGAAAAATTGAAGGTACATCTCAGACCTAGGTTCTTAAAATACTCTTCCCTTACCTCCTGCTACCCCTACATTTTATGACTCAAGAGAAATGCCCACGAGGGTGGAGGAATGTAGAGGTTTCAGTCTGTATTACCCTACCATTACAGTTGGTAATCTTGGTATTTAAAAAATCCACAGCAGAAGTTGTGTACATGGTTTTGCTGATTCCTGTTAGCGTTTTCAAGTTAAGACTCCCTGAGCCTGGCCTTTTTGCTGACTGCCAACCAACATTACCTAAAAACAAAGACACATTGTTGCCAGGTCTTTTAGTATTTATATTCTCTGCTCTACTTTGTCTTACAAATCTAAATTTTTTCAAAGACACCTAAAACCCCTCATATTACTTGCCGAGTAACTAAAGGTTTATTCCATGGCATTTTCTTTTTCATTTTCATAGTTTGTCATCTAAACCTTATCTATCAAGAAATTTCAATTTTTCTCAGGTACTTGGTAAACTATAATATCCCAGTTGACATTAAATTCTAGGAGGCTCCCACAAAGATCACATTATGCTATCTAGAGTGGGTTCACTATCATGGGTGCTCAGTGTATTTTCAAGTCATCTTGAATACTCAAATTTACCAGCTCCAGACTGGACGTGTTGCTCCAAGCTGATTGCATCTAGGTTGCAAACTTAATTTTTGGTTCCTAAACTGGAACGTCCACTTTTCCTGCTGTGTCAAATTATCTGCTCAGCAATACAAGGCAAGGCTGAGGTGGGAAAACTTGCTTGAGTTTAACACCAGTAGCCTGGGCAATGTAGTTACACACCACCTTTATAAAGACAAGCTCTAAAATCTTAGTGTTTAACAGAGGCACAGGATAAACTGGCAATGTAGAATTTTACCTGTATTGGCCACACTTCTCCCGTAGAATACAGCAGCACCCAGCATTAAAACTCTTAATTGAAATTGTTAAGTGGCTCTGAAAAGAGCCTTTGGGTTTGAACAGGCGTCCATTTACTTGGAGCTGGTGTACTTGGTGACGGCCTTAGTGCCCTCGGACACGGCGTGCTTGGCCAGCTCCCCAGGCAGCAGCAGGCGCACCGCCGTCTGAATCTCCCTGGAGGTGATGGTGGAACGCTTGTTGTAATGCGCCAGGCGGGAAGCCTCACTCGCGATGCGCTCGAAGATGTCGTTGACGAAGGAATTCATGATCCCCATGGCTTTGGAGGAGATGCCGGTGTCAGGGTGGACCTGCTTCAGCACCTTGTACACGTACACAGAGTAGCTCTCCTTGCGGCTGCGCTTGCGCTTCTTTCCATCCTTCTTCTGCGCCTTGGTTACCGCCTTTTTGGAGCCCTTCTTTGGAGCGGGAGCGGACTTAGCTGGATCAGGCATTGCAACAAAATGAAGGAGTAAGAATACACCCAAGAGTGGACGCTTAACTGCACAGCTGGCCGTTTTTGTAGGTCTTTTATGCAAATAGGTGCTTAATCATTCTCAATCCCTGATTGGACCAAATCAGCCAATAAAAAAGTTAAATTCAAGTCACTTTTCGATTGGATATTTATGCGAAACCTACCTTAAATCCTTTTCTACACCACCCGGGGGAAAAAACGTAGTTTTTCATTCAAAACATTAGAAAAATTAATGCCTTGTCAGTAACATCTAGCTATAAGTTATGTCTCCTTAGGTGCGAATTTAAACAGAAACAAAGACGGATATTATGTTTCTAGTTTCCTACCAAATTGCAGCTTCCGGTTTTAAAATTATCTATGAATAACTAATTTTAAAATGGAAATTACCTAAAGATTTACGTGTTTCCAGAATTATACCATCGTCTTTCTTTTATAATCTGATCAAGGTCGTCAGCATTCTTACAAAAAATTTAAGCTTTTTCGGTAATCAAAGGATGAACACATTTCAAGGGCGATGGGATTTTAATATATCCCCTAGGAACGGAGTGTCTGGAAGTGAAACCAGTGTTTGTTGAAAGGTTCAGAATATAAGGAATAGGGTACTTATATTAAAAATATTTCTTCAAAATAAGAATTAAAAAAAATATATAACGGACAAATTGAGCTGCACCAATCACTTTCAAACGCGGAATTTTCGAAATCGCTCCGGAACTGCAGAAAGTTCATTTCCGTCTGTCAAACATAATCCCAAAGTGATTAAAATAAAATCAATGAAGGTACATAATACAGGTAGGTACATAAAACATAATAAAATGTAAGGAACTAGGGGAAAAAAAGTATTTAGATAGGTTAAGGTTTTCTAAAATGAGACCTAGTAGCCGATCACAAGTCAGGGCGCGAAATTGGAAGATTCGGACCAATCAGAAGGACTTTGCCTTTATAAATAGGAGTAAGAACAACTGTTAGTTCCGTTGTGACCGTTGCTTGAAACCCATTCCTATGGCCCGCACCAAGCAAACGGCTCGTAAGTCCACTGGCGGCAAAGCGCCACGCAAGCAGCTGGCCACTAAGGCGGCTCGCAAAAGCGCGCCGGCCACCGGTGGCGTGAAGAAGCCCCACCGCTACCGGCCTGGCACCGTCGCCCTCCGTGAAATACGCCGCTATCAGAAATCGACTGAGCTACTGATTCGCAAGCTGCCATTCCAGCGTCTGGTACGGGAGATTGCGCAGGACTTCAAGACCGACCTGCGCTTCCAGAGCTCGGCGGTGATGGCGCTGCAGGAGGCCTGCGAGGCTTACTTGGTGGGGCTCTTTGAGGACACCAACCTGTGTGCCATCCACGCCAAGCGAGTGACTATCATGCCCAAGGACATCCAGCTAGCTCGCCGCATTCGCGGAGAGAGGGCATAAGTTGTACTAAGGGTGTGTGCCAACTTAAACCAAAGGCTCTTTTCAGAGCCACCAACAGTTTCAGTTGAAAGCGCGGTAGCACTAGGGAGTAACGTCTCCTGAAACAAGGAGCGTGGTGGGTTAGGGGATGGGGGGGAGGACCCGTGGCTCTTCTAGCCTTTTTTCTCTTGGCCATTGTCTTCAAAATGGCCCGCAGCGGCGGCTCAGGCCTGTAATCCCAGCACTGTGGTAGCCCGAGGCGGGCGAATAACTTACACAAAGGTCAGGAATTCGAGACTAGCCTGGCTAACACGGTGAAACCCCCGTCTTCACTAAAAGTGCAAAACCAAAAAAACAAAATTACGGGCGTGGTGACGCCCTCCTGCAGTCCCAGCTATACCGGGGGCTGAGGCAGGAGAATCGCTTGAATCCGGGAAGCAGAGGTTGCAGTAAGTCGAGATCGCGCCACTGCACTCCAGCATGGGTTACAGCGAAACTCAAAACAGAAAACGGCTGTGTGCTGAGGCAAAACCAAAACTACAGGGAAAAAGGAAACAACTTGTGGACAAAAGTGTATGAAAACTTTATTTGTGACAGCATAGGGAGTTAAATCATTATCTTACTTTTTTTTGGCTTGCCCTGAGAGTTCATTTGAGACATCAACAGGAGAAACGGATACAAGTTAATATAATACAAATTTTACGTGGCACGGGAGTCTTCCAATTAAAACCCCAGGGTGCAGGTGTACACTATGCCCAGGGAAAACTGGGTTCAGGGAAATGTTACTGCAACCTTTTTTTTTTTTTTTTTTTTGAGACAGATTCGCTCTTGTCACCCAGGATGGAGTGCGGTGGCGCGATGCGGGATCCCGGCTCACTGCAACCTCCTCCTCCCAGGTTCAAGCGATTCTCCTGCCTCAGCCTCCTGAGTAGCTGAGATCACAGGTGTGTGCCACCACACCCGGCTAATTTTGTAGTTTTAGTGGAAACAAGGGTTTCGCCATGTTGGCTATGGTTGGTCTGGAACTTCTGACCTCAGGTGATCTGACCGCCTTGGCCTCCCAAAGTGCTGGGATTACAGCACCGTAATCCACTGTGCCCAGCTCAATTTCTTGTTATTCTAGTTATTTAATCAGCCTAGCCAACATGGCGAAACCCTGTCTCCACTATAAATACAAAATTAGCTGGACGTAGTAGCAGGCCACTGTAATCCCAGCGACTAGGGAGGCTGAGGCAGGAGAATCACTTGAGTCTGGGAGGTGGAGGTTGCAATGAGCCGAGATCCTGCCACTGCACTCCAGCCTGGGCGACAGCGTGAGACTCCGCCTCAAGAAAAAAAAAAAAAAAAAAAAAAAAATCTAGTTATTCAAAATAAAGCAGAAATAGGCTGTGATGGGATTGCTACTTTTATTGCTTAGAATTCCATGGTTTATCAAGTTTGTTTGTTTGTTTTCCCCACAAATAGTTGTTTGCACTCTTGACTTTTTGTTGTGGTGACATGCTCATTAGGCCGTAATTCATTTATGCAGGTACCTGATTTCTTAGATATTGCTGACTCTGCTTCAAACACCCATGATCTTTAGGACTGTGTGTTTGGTGCATCCTAACTGCACAATAAAAAATCCACTATTATTTTGAACATTCTATTTTAGACACATCATTTATTTCCACTTAAATGTTCTTATTTAACTAGCTCAGCAAATATTTTGTATGATGAAAAAAGTGGTGCTTAGTCTGTATTTTGGCTTGTGCGCAAATTCCCTTTTTCTCCTATTAACGTTTATGGCAGTTTTCCCTGAGTTTCCTGTTGTACCAACCCCAGAAGACAGTCAGCCCTTGCACCTTCTGTCCACATGAGAAGAACAGGGCATGGAACCTCTGGCAATTTACATTATTTTTTTCTGGGCAATTCTTCATTGTTTAATTGTATAGTGCTTAATATAAGTGAACATACACTGAATGTATTGGTGTTTCAAAGGCAATGTTTTAAAATCCTTCGGTGTGCTTTACCAGTGTATTATTATTTTGTCTGTAAAAAACAGTGTGTGGCAATAAGAATTCGTTTAGCAACTGGCTGGTGAGGTGGCTCGTGGCTGTAATCCCAGCATTTTGGGAGGCTGAGGCGGGCGGATCACCTGAGGGCAGGAGTTGTCAAACAACATTTCTGCAATTGCCATAATTATTTTCATAATTTTCTGTATCCCTATAAAGTATGACATAGTGTTTACACAGTAGATTGACCGTTGACAAAAAAACAGAAAAACAAAAAAAAACAAATGAGAAGCCACTTCTTCAGTGTGGTGAAAAAATGAAAATGTTAGGAGGCAGGATCACAGGAGATAACATGGTAGGTTGACAAAGCACAAGGAGAAACACTTTAGGTTATAAATTACCAGTACTTGAGATCAATGACCTGAAATCACAGTAAGTGCCCCAGCAAAGAATTCACTGGATAAGACAAAAACTTAGGCTTTTTTTTTTTCTTTTTGAGACAGAGCCTTGCTCTGTGCTCTAAGCCTAGAGTGCAGTGGCACGTGGTGGGCTCAATGCAACCTCAGTCTCCCAGGTTCAAGCGATCCTCCTGCCTCAGCCTCCAGAGTAGCTGGGACTACAGGCGCGCGCCACCACGTCCCCGTCTGGCTAATTTTTGTATTTGTAGTAGAGATGGAGTTTTGCAGTGCTGGACCGGCTGGTCTCGAACTCCTTGAGCTCAAGTGATCCACCCGCCTCGGCCTCCCAAAGTGCTGGGATTACAGATGGGATTACAGACATGAGCCACCGAGCCCGGGCAAACTTTTTTTTTTTAAAGACATGATGTCTGTTGCCCAGGCTGGAGTGCAGCGGCGCCGTCTCAGCTCACTTAAATCTCCGCCTCCCCTGCTCAAACGATTCCTCCTGCCTCAGCCCTTGCAGATTAGCTGCGACCGCGGGCGTCCGCCACCACGCCGTGCTAACTTTCCTATTTAAAATTTTTTAGTGGAGTCGGAATTTCACCATTTTGTTTGCCCAGCCTAGTCTCGAACCCCTGAGCTCTAGTAATCCGCCCGCCTTTGTCTCCCAAGGTGCTGTGATTGCAGGCCTGAGGCACCGCGACTGGACACAAGTAATGGATTTTTAAGTTTACCAGTAATTTATCTGTCCACAGCCGCCCTAAGATCATTCAGGTTCTATGGCTAATAAATAACACTTAGGCCGGGCACGGTGACTCACGCCTCTAATCCCTGCACTTTAGGGAGGCCAAGGCGGACGGATCACCTGAGGTCGGGAGTTCCAGACCAGCCTGACCAACACGTAAAAAACCAGTCTGTACTAAAAATACAAAATTAGCCGACCGTGGTGGTGCATGCCTGTAATCCCTGCTACTCTGGAGGTTGGCAGGAAAATCACTTAAACCCGGGGGTGGTTGCGGTGAGCAGAGATTGCCCCATTGCACTGGAGCCTGGATAAGAGCAACTCCGTTTCAAAAAATGTAATGTTTAGTGTAGTTAAGTCGTAGCCATCTAATATAGGAATAAATTTTAGAAAACTAGTAATAAAACACCATACGTCACGAAACATTGCTGGTATTCCTGAATCATTTCCACAATTTTTTTCCGTGGAGGTTTGAGACCGAAATATCTTACCAAGTTTCTAATGTCCTTTCGCTTTTTGTTCTTAACACATCCGCCATTTTGGGAGTATCGCTGAAAACGGCTTTCAACTCAGCTACAACCCAATAAAGTTTACAAAACGAAACACAAATCGCCTGTATCTTCGCTGTAATCAGTTACAGCCCTTCGTGTGACGATGGAGGTGGCCCTGAAAAGGGCCTTTTATGGGTAAGCTGTTAAATAAAGCCGGGGTGAGGCTCAGCCACCAAAGCCGTACAAAGTGCGACCCTGGCGCTTGAGCGCGTAGACCACATCCATGGCGGTGACTGTCTTACGCTTGGCGTGCTCCGTGTAGGTTACAGCATCCCGGATCACATTCTCCAGAAACACCTTAAGCACACCTCGGGTCTCCTCATAAATGAGGCCCGAGATGCGTTTCACGCCGCCGCGTCGGGCCAAACGACGGATGGCAGGTTTCGTAATGCCCTGGATGTTGTCACGCAACACTTTACGGTGGCGCTTGGCGCCTCCCTTTCCCAAACCTTTACCACCTTTGCCTCTACCAGACATTATCGGAGATGAACACCAACTCTTATCTCGGCAACTTTGCTACTCACTGAAGCCCCTTATATGTCAATTATGCGGACCTTTTTGGAGACTGAATTTGAGGGGCGGGAACGAAACCTCTGTCTCCGCCTTTTCCGTACCTTACTGGGCGTCCCCTACGCTACTGCCTTGGGAAGGAAAGGGGGCGGTGAGGGTAGGGGAAATGCAACTTGATTTGACTCCTTCCCTCTTCCTTGTTTGGGTCTTGAGTGTAGGTTTTTGTGTCCTCTAGCCCAGTTTTTGTGGGCTCTCGAAGAACTGATAATATCTGTCTCTTAAAAGCCTTATCATTTGCAAAAAGGCAGTAACGCTACACTTGTCTACCAAATGGATAGACAAGAGAATAAAATTATTATTTATTTTGAAACAGTATCGCTCTGTTGCCCAGACTGGAGTGCAGTGGCGTGATCTCGGTTCACTGCAACCTCCACCTCTTGAGTTCAAGCGATTCTCCTGCCTCAGCCTCTGGATTAGCTGCTACTACAGGCGCGCATCACCACGCCTCGCTAATTTTTGTATTTTTAGTAGAGATGGGGTTTCGCCACGGTGACCAGGCTGGTCTCGAACTCCTGATCTCAGGTGATCGGGGGACCTCTCTTGGTCTCCCAAAGTGCTTGGATTACAGGCATGAGCCACTGTGCCTGGCCTTAATTTATAAATGTGAAGATTCTTTAAAAATGTATTTTTACTAATTTTTTTTTTGAGAGGGGTCTTGCTCTGTTGCCCAGGCTGGAGTGCAGTGGTGCTATCTCAGCTCACTGCAATCTCCGCCTTCTGGGTTCAAGCGATTCTCATGCCTCAGCCTCACAAGTAGCTGGGATTACAGGCATGCATCGCCACACCCAGGTAATTTTTGTATCTTCTCATTACAGACAGGGTTTCGCCATGTTGTCCAGGGTCGTCTTGAACTCCTGACCTCAGGTGATCCACCCGCCTTGGCCTCACAAAGTGGTGGGATTACCGGCGTGAGCCACCACTGCCGGTCATTTTTACTGATTCTTAAAATGTAGCAATACTTCTTAAATTTGGCCAATCATGGGACTTAGCGTTTGGCAGAGACGTATACATTCGTTTTCGGCATTCCTAATAAAGAAAGACCTCTAGTAAGGGAAACCAATATTAAGTGAAGTTTCATTTTTACTGTTTCAACGTTTAATGCAATGTCTGAGGCCTAACGATAAGGAACCCCAGGCTTGAAGACATTATCCTCTAATAAATGGTATTGTATTGTTGGCTTGATTCTGGAGTCTCATTACCTTGCTACCTACCAGTGCTTTTATGCCACTAAAGCATACATGGTAAATCATGGTGAATAAAGATTTGTAAATTAACAAAAATAATACTAATAAATTCTGTGAAATACTGTCCTAATAAAAGATTCCTGAAGAAATGTTCTACAGACATAGGGTATGTGTAGTAGAAAGATTCAACATTAACTCTTACATTCTACTCCTTCACATTCATTGCCTCCTATATACTGCAGGGGCAACTTAAAAATTCCTTCTCTGCTGGTGCCTAAAGGCAGTGAGAAGATTATTCATTTTGTGCAGTTAAGAGTCTACTTAAATTTTGGCTTAGGTTCAGTTATCTGTAGGAGTAGACACAAGGATCTCAAATGCTCTCCTTTTTGAGGTAGGCACCAAACAAGCATCACTCATTCACTCAACAATTTAATGTTCACTACATGCCAAGAATGGTGTACAAATACCAGGTTTACAAAGGTAATCACATTTATTCCCTTAAAGAATTCAAAAGTTTAGTAAAGGGAAAAGTAAACTCAGGGTTAGGGGGCAGATATCAGACGAGCATACTTCTACTTACTCTTGAGTATTTAAGGGTGGAGCAGCCATATCCCAGCTTTACTGGCATCACTCTGAAGCTTGTTAGACATACAGAATTTCGGGCTCAACCCCAATTCAATGGAATTGATATTGCATTTTTAATGAGATTTCTAAGTGGGTGGTGGGTATGCTCTTCCAAGTTTGAGAATAATTGTTTTAAAGCTCTGCTGTCCTGTATTAGCCACTAGCAACATGTGCTCATTTTTATTTAAATTAATTTAAATTAAAAACTAATTTGTACACTTACTCTAGCCACATTAAGGTGCTCAATAGCCACATATGGGTAGTGGCTACCTATTGGACAGTGTCAATACAGAACATTTTTATCATTGCAGAAAGTTCTATTGGGCTGTATCTATGATAAGGGGGTTTCTTCTGAAGAGCTTCTAATCCAGTCTAGAAGGGAACATGGAGTTTGGTGGATGCCTGAGACATGTCAAAAGAAAATTGTAAGTTTGAGTGCAGTAGTGGCCTTTTTAGGAAATAAAATTAATACAATACTGTTGTACCTGAAGAGGAATTTCAAGGACGGTTATAATCGATGTGATTTCTCATGGACCTTCTGAACACATTCAATTCTAACACAAAGCCTTACTTTCTGTAATAGTCTATATATGCTTTCATCCGTTTTAATATTTATTCTACATATTTTCTTTTTTTGTTGATAATCTTTAAAATCTGAATTGCGTGATGCTTAAGCACTGTCTCACTGAATTGATCTAGTGAATACTACCTACAACTCTCACAGCCATTTACTGTGGTGGTGGTGGGGATAGGGGAGTTAACACAAAATGAAGAGAACACTGAGCCATAAGTTAGACAGCTATCATTTATCTAACTAGTTTTTCCTAGCTACTTTTTGCATCTATAAAATAAATATTTCCAACCATAGTGTAATGGGAAATCTACTGTTTTAGAATATATTCAGATTTAGGATTCCAAAGCAACACAGAACTCTTTTTGAGGACTACCAACGTAATAGGTGAAACTTTGCAGGACTTCAAGTTTACAGTCCATGGGGTGATCCAGCTTTCAGGAACCTTGTCCATGCTGCAATTACAGAGAAGATAAGCACCTAGGTCCCAAATTATGTAGCCCAGTTCCTTTCCTCTTTGAACATCTGGCGAAATTTGTTGGTGAAACTGAGTCTCAGTTATTGCCCTCCAGAAAGGGCAGAGATTAGTTAACCCAATGCCTTTTTACTTATTGAGACCCTAAGTAGCCATGGGAACCACTCAGTGTTGGACAAGAATGAAATGGTGGCATCTGTTAATTGACTATATCTAACAGGGTGAACAATTCCAACAATTATCCAACAAGTATTAAGACTACAATAACGATCAAAATAATAAACAGTAAACAATCAGAATTTTAGTTGTATCTTTACGTTTGGCAATATAAAGCTATGGTCCCAAAAAAGAAATACTTATATTATGCTTGTGACTATCACTGTTAATAATGATATCCATGAAGATGCACTGTCCCTGCCTCCAGAAACCTATAAAATACTTCCCTACTGGAACTATGGGGTGCTACTAATCCAATTCTGTAAGTTTAGCTCTTTTATAAACTATATTTGTATTTTTGTGGTATATAACATGGTCTTAAGTCCCAGAGACTTGTTTTCAATACATGCAAGAGAGTAAATAATTACTTAATACAAGCGTAGTAATTTTTTTTTTTTGAGAAGGAGTTTCACTCTTGTTGCCTAGGCTGGAGTGCAATGGTGCTATCTTGGCTCACTGCAACCTTCGCCTCCTGAGTTCAAGCGATTCTCCTACCTCAGCCTCCCAAGTAGCTGGGATTACAGGTGTGTGCTACCATGCCCAGCTAATTTTTGTATTTTTAGTAGAGACAAGGTTTTACCATGTTGGTTAGGTTGGTCTCGAACTCCTGAACCTCAGGTAGTCTGCCCACCTTGGCCTCACAAAGTGCTGGGATTACAGGTGTGAGACAGCCACTGCATCTGGCCAAGACAAGCTAAGTAATTTTTTATGAAATTTGTTGAATGAGGAAAGATGACATCTTTAAAGTTGATTATTTTATCTAGGGTTTATATGAAAAAATCTTCTAATCACTATTGAGTGTAGGCCAGAATAACTTGATTTTTTGAAATGAGTATTTTTGTCAGAGGAAACATAAGATCAAACTACTTCTCTTGTTTCTTTAACAAACATAGGAGTTCATTTCAGCATCTGATTATTTGATGGAGAATATTAATGTGCTTAATTATCCAATAATAACCTAATTCCATCAGCTGTATTGCAAACTAACAGATAAGGAATGATAAGGAATAGTGAAGTTACTCATGTTTGCTCTGAAATATTTGTTCAGCTCCTCAGGTGGACATATTCAACCTGTTAATTTAGGGTGTGACAGCTTAGTTCGTATTTTGCGTGTAAAAAGCCAAGGAGAATGATGAAAATTTAGAAAGTGATTTAAATAAGATTGTTTTCTTTCTAAACCTTGATGCCCACACTTGCAATGTTGAAAGTTTGTATTTTATTTTTTTAAAGTGATTCTTACCAGTTATTCAAACAGTTTGTATACAGAGGAAGTGAAATTTGTATTATATGATTTCAAAATATAAAAAATGTACAAAATTCTATGAGGAATATTAGCAAAAAAATAGTGTCTTTCATTAAATTATTTATAAAGTGATGGGACACGAACATGTACACAAGCTCTCAATGCTCATAGTTGGCAAAATGATGTTGGCCTGCCATTCTGTTATTTGTTGGTTCAGTTTTCTTTTTTGGAGATGTGGTAGTTGATCTTTAATGCCCATTCTAGGTCGGAAAAATCCATGATGCTAACTTTTAAGAGAAGGTTGGTGACTCTACTTAGGATTTTTTTTCTATAAGAGGAATGATGTCGCCTCACGCTTATCTTTCTGGAAATGTTTAAACCACTGAAATACAGAGATCAAATCCAACTTACACACTGGTAACTCAAATATTATTTTTTAAAACTATCTTTTCTAAAATAATCACCCCTCTTATACATAGAACTTTCTACCTCAGCGCCAATTCTTAGAGGTTGATGCAAACAACTCGCCAGAGAGCCTGTGCTATTGCTCCTGCGAAAAACACCAATTTCCCTACACATTTGAATAAAAATGAGTTTATCTATATAAATTTGAGACGATAAGAATTCACAGAACAATGCCCTGGAAGAGACATTTGCAAATGAAAGAGGGAGAAATAGTATTTTTAAGGAAAACCTGAAAGTTGTCTCGATTTGACCGAAGTTTGAAAGAGAGTTGGGGGAATAAGAAAAGTTTCAAGATGCCGCTTTTAAAACTATGCATAGGAAAAAAGGCAGGAATGAAGCCCGAAGTCTCTCGGATCAGTTTCCCCCAAATTCCTCATTATTTCATGCCCAGATTTCTTATATTTCTGCTCTTTTTTAAGGGGCAAGAAACACAGCAGCGCGGTAGATCGGAGGAGTCCTTTTCCAGCAGCTCCGCGCATGGAGCAAGGAACCAATCATCACTCAGCGTCTCTCTATATAAACCCTCAGCCTCCGGCGTAGAGGACACGCCGTTCTGACAGTTTGAGATTACTTTTGTCTTTTCTGGCAAGACAAAAACATGTCGGAGACTGCTCCAGTTGCTCCTATCACTCCTGCACCCGCAGAAAAAATACCTGTGAAGAAAAAGGCGAAGAAGGCAGGCGCTACTGCTGGGAAACGCAAGGCATCCGGACCGCCAGTGTCTGAGCTCATCACCAAGGCAGTGGCAGCTTCCAAAGAACGCAGCGGTGTTTCTCTGGCCGCGCTTAAGAAAGCGCTTGCGGCTGCTGGCTACGATGTAGAGAAAAACAACAGCCGTATCAAGCTTGGCCTCAAGAGCTTGGTGAGCAAGGGTACTCTGGTGCAGACCAAAGGCACCGGTGCTTCTGGCTCCTTTAAACTGAACAAGAAAGCCGCTTCCGGGGAAGGCAAACCTAAGGCCAAGAAGGCTGGCTCAGCCAAGCCTAGAAAGCCCGCTACAGCAGCCAAGAAGCCCAAGAAAGCGAGTGGCGCTGCTACCCCGAAGAAAAGCGTCAAAAAGACTCCTAAGAAGGCAAAGAAGCCAGCAACAGCTGCTGGGACCAAGAAAGTGACCAAGAGTGCGAAAAAGGTGAAAACACCCCAGCCAAAAAAAGCCGCCAAGAGTCCAGCTAAGGCCAAAGCTCCTAAGCCCAAGGCAGCCAAGCCTAAGTCGGCGAAGCCGAAGGTTACAAAGGCAAAGAAGGCAGCTCCGAAGAAAAAGTGAAACTGGCGGGACGTTCCGCTTTGAAAATTTAAACGGCTCTTTTCAGAGCCACCCATAGGTCTCAGTCAAAAGAGCTGGCGCCTTTTTTGCGGGGCCAGGAGGGGGGCTGCGGGTGTGGTGTGCGGGCGCGGTCTACCCCAGTCATGCCGGTTGGGGTTCAGTAACTCACAGTTCCCAGCAGCCTGGGCGCAAGAATCCTGCCTCAGCCACAGCCACAGCCACCGGAGTAGCTAAGGCTACTTGAACCACCAGGTTTTGCTTTTTTTTCAAATTCCCGCGGTGGTGTGTGATTGGCCGGCTGATTTCTCTCAAAGCGTGCGCTTAGAAAGTGGCTCTGAAAAAATTTTATTCCTGGCACAGGGATATGGTGTAAATGCTTTAGTTTGCTTTAGCATTGAGGTGACTTCTTGAGCACAGCCTGTCCTGGTTGTGAGCAGTACCTGGCATGCCCAAGGTTCCTGCGGCCCACCATCTTGTGCAGCGTTGAAAATGGCCAACTGCAGGTGGCGCCCGGTGTCTGTCTTTTAGCAGGCTTGTGAAACCCCTTAACTCTGGGATATGGGCTGTCAGGTACCGTACTTGGAAATAGGCATTGTGGGCCTGCACTGCCTGGCGAGGGGGCTCCCCTATAATCCCAGCATTTTGAGAGGCCGAGGCGGCCGCATCACGAGGTCAGGAGTTCGAGGCCAGCCTGAAAAACATGGTGAAACCCTCTCTCTACTAAACAAAATATAAAAATTAGGCGTAGTGCCGCGCGCCTGTAATTCCAGCTACTTGGGGGGGCTGAGGCCGAAGAATCACTTGAACCTGGGAGGCGGAAGTTGTAGTGAGCCGAGATCGCTCCACTGCACTCCAGCCTGGGCGATAGAGGGAGCCTGTCTCAAAAAGTGTGGCCATTCTTTTTCTGTCAGTGACCAGCGTCTCCAGGACTTATTTTCCCAGAGGCTCTCTTGCTTGTTCATTTATTTTTGCCTACTCTTAACCTTCTAGCACGGCCGCCAGGTAACACTGGCGTGCTGGCCCAACCTGCTCGGAGTAACTGTCTTTGCGGAGGACTCGGTGTATTAGGCCTACTGGCAACTAGGCCTGCGTGGCAAAGCAGGTCTTGCGTTTGGAGCGAGTTTGGTCTTGCTTCCCGCGTCCAGGTAACTTTAGAAAAAAAATGCAATTCTAGTGTTAAGCCAATCGCAGGGAGAAGTCATCATCGTCTCTGACTCAGTTTTGTAAAACTTGCTTTTCTATTGGTTTGCAGAGCCTGCTGAATTAACCAATCAGAACGTATTGTTAGATTTTTATTTGCGGGGTTTTCCGAGCCAAAAATTTTCACCTGTCAGGTTGCGATATTAAAAGTTGGGTATGCTGGGACCTAGTCGAAAAGTCTGGTTTTTTCTCCCCTCCCCCTCAGATGGAATTCTCCAAATGGAATTCTCTTTTGGGAGACTACTCACCTTGTCATTCTGCGTAAATCTCCATAAGTATTGCTCCCACCCTGATGCTAAAAGATAGTATGAAAGGAACCTCTGTCAGTTTATAATCTACTTCCTTTCCCAAATTACTTTCTCACAGATTGAGATGAACCAGGGAGCTAGAGTTAGCTATCCAATACATATTTGGTGATTAGATAAGAAATAGAGAAGGAAAAATAAATGAAAAACCTTGGAGAATGGAGCAAGAAGCCTGAAATTGGGGTTACCAGGACAAAGAAATGGGCTGTAGGAAGTTGGGTTGACTTGGACGTACTACTGTTTCCATTGTATTTGGGAGGTTGAGGTTATTTTTTTTTGTTTTGCTTTTGACTTTAGAAAAGCCCACTTAATCGTACTGAGAAATCTCGACAAAATCTAATTTCTACAGATGTTTATGGGACTCTAGATGGGAAAAAAATTATATTTTTACAAATCCTAAATGCAATTTGGTTATTTCCTTTGTGAGTACAGACAGCTAATCACTGGATTTCACATCAATGATAATCATAGATTTTTCATATCACTTTGTACTTATTACAGGTGTCTTGAAATAATTTACACTAATTGTGAACCTTTCAAGCCAACATTATACTTGCTGCTAGATCTTATTTTTTGATGTGTAACTAAAGCATATATACAGACTTTAAGAAAAAAAAATTTTAGGCCGGGCGAGGTGGCTCAAGCCTGTAATCCCAGCACTTTGGGAGGCTGAGACGGGCGGATCACGAGGTCAGGAGACCGAGACCATCCTGGCTGACACGGTGAAACCCCGTCTCTACTAAAAAATACAAAAAACTAGCCGGGCGAGGTGGCGGGCGCCTGTAGTCCCAGCTACACGGGAGGCTGAGGCAGGAGAATGGCGTGAGCCCGGGAGGCGGAGCTTGCAGTGAGCTGAGATCCGGCCACTGCACTCCAGCCTGGGCGGCAGAGCGAGACTCCGTCAAAAAAAAAAAAAATTTTAGTGTCACTACCTTTCTTACCCCGTTTAAGTATTTTTTTAAAGCGTGGTTTTGAGAAGGTGTCTATAGATTTCCAGAATCTCCAGAATACATAGCACAAAACAAGTCATGAACTCTTGAACAAGTTTGCAGTGGGACCAAATACCATAAATACCTCATGATTATAATACTTCTTAATCTTACTTTTTTGTTTATATTCTGCTTATTAGTTAATATTTTATTATATTTTACATTATTATTTGCCTCCCTCCCCCCAAAAAAGGATGTAGCCTGTGATGTGTTTCTAGTTATAAGCAGGAGTTTAATTTTTTGAGAACCACGGCTACATCACCCAATTTCTTATTTGTAGAGAAAGCCAAAATACCTCCCTGTATGAGAGTGGCTTGACTGAGAAGGGGATCTGAATAAATAGGAGGATTTGAAATATTTATTCAAAATAATCTTTTTGAAAATGAGTGAAAAATACAGGTATGTAGGGGTGAGCAAAACTTCTTCACTCTCCGAAAGTTCACTGAAAATCAATGGAAAAAAGGCAGATTAATAGAAAAGTCAAAATTCATCATAGGTTTATGTGACATGGGAACCTTCACAAGGAAGGCTCAGAGGTACAGGGGAAACTGTCCATTTTAATGCTTAGGGTTCAACAAAGTACCAACTGCCATGTAGAACTGTGATTGGATAAAAAGGGTGTCATCTAATGCTAATGGACTGGGGAAACATAGCAAGGCCTCTGTGTCTAGATTCTTCTTGGCCTCTGGCAAGATTCTTTCCTTCTGAGTATTCCTTCCTCATTCTAGAGGACCCTCTCTGTAATGAGGGAGGGTCTTATGATCTACAGCCAAACAACAGAAGACATATACGTTTTTATGGCTAGGTTTTACACAGAAAGGAGGGCGAAAAGTTACAGTAAGGTTTTTAGGTTTTATGGCTGGCTTTGAAGAAAAAAGGATTCTAGTTTCAGTAACCACCTTGGGGAAGAGGGAGTCTAGTTTTATCTGTAGCCTCAACAGAGGATGAGAGGCCAAAGAATAGCAGTAGGTCACTCACTTCTGCTTCTAAGGCCTTCCTTTTGGGGTATTATTTTACTATCCCTAATGGGGAGAAGGGATCTGGAATGACTTTAGTACCCAGAATGACAAGATTTAGGCTTTTGATGAAAAGTGATAAGGAATAAGATAATTAGGTGGGGAATGTGGTATTCCACAAGAGCAGTCCAAATGACTATAACATACCTCTGGTTCCTTACTGTTGCAAAGCACTTATTTAACTGCCTCACTTGGGCAATTACAATGCATTTATATCAGGTATAGCTAAAATGCTTGATTTACTGTTAAGAAACTTGGCGCTTAGAAAGGTTAAATGGCAAGAAATGACCATTTGCTGTCACTAAATGGTGGACCTAGGTCTCAAAACAAGTTTCTTGATTCCTAGAATCGTTCTTATGCTGCTTCAATTCTGTTACATCAACTGGAAAAGGAGTGGTATTTTCCAGTTCCTTTTTAGACTCATTGAGAAAGAAGCAGAATTTATGTATTTCTATTTCTGGCCCTTTGTGAAGTATCCATTTCACAATATGTTTGGTATGCAACAGAAGCAATGAAATGTAATGATTCAATCAATGATCTTCCAGAGTTTGTCTGATTTATATAAATTCATATTCATATTCATTTGCCACAGAGGACATGCACTTGTTTTCAAGGAAATCTGAACTTGTTTAAATCTTTCTCCATATATTAAAATTTTGTAGCAGTTATAATGAATATCTTGAGATTGGTAAAGAATACTAACAGTGTCTTAGCATGGAAGTTGTGAAGGGCATTTTCATACTATCTTAGCTGTTGGAGAGTTCTTATGCGTATAGCATAGGTCTGACACAAAAGTAATTTTTAGAATCAACCTGAAGTCATTACTTTAACTTGAGGAAGCAGATTTTCATGGTATTGTGGGGAGGCCTCAATCTTCCCTGTTACACAGTCACTAAATCAGGTTGATTTTTACAGAATTCTAAATAATTCTTACATATTCTCCCTTCTACATTCTCTCTTCATTCTCTCATAGCTAGGATGATTCCAATGCTTACTAACTAGTTCCCTAATTTCTCTAGCCTCCAATTTATCTTAACTATTTATTTACTTATTTATTTTTTGAGACAGAGTCTTGCTCTGTTGCCCAGGCTGGAGTGCAGAGGCTCAATCTCAGCTCACTGCAGCCTCTGCCTCCCTGGTTCCAGTGATTCTCTTGCCTCAGTCTCCCAGGTAGCTGGGATTACAGGCACACGCTACCATACCCGGCTAATTTGTTTTTGTATTTTTCGTAGAGATGGGGTTTCACCATGTTGTTCAGGCTGGTCTCAAACTCCTGACCTCAGCTGATTCATCCACCTCAGCCACTCAAAGTGCTAGGATTACAGGCGTGAGCACCACGCCCGGCCCATTTTAAAAAACAAACACCAAATATGCCTTATGAAAAAGGTCAGTGGCTTCTCATAGGTTCATGGGAAAGCCCTGTAGCCTCTTAGCCCCTTTTCATAATACTGTCTGCTCGCACTCACAGACACTAATAACAATGTAACCTTTCTGTTTCTTCTTATTTTATTATTATTGTTATTATTTTACAACTTTGTTCTGGAACAATTCCCCGTGAGAATCTTTATAATACTTCCAATTCCTTCTCAAATTACATCTCCCTCTAATTCAAAACGTAAACTTATCTCTGAAAATGTGCTTTCATGACATTTAATAATTAAGAACAATTATTATCAATAGAAAAATTTTAATGCATCTATTGTTTACTCCCATTAACTAAACTGAACTATAGAGCATTTGTCTCATTTTCCACTACTCTAGGGGCATGTGTGTGTGTGTATGTGTATGTGTGTGTGTGTCTGAATTAAAAAATTCCATCAAATGGGTTATATTATTGTCAGATAGTCATCAAATTCAGTGATTTCATTTTCTGTTTTCCTGTGTGAGAAAACAGGGGTAACAAATTTCTCTGCCCCTTTCATGACTCTTGTGTCCATGGTCTGATTTACAAGACTATCTTCCTTATCTTCGGAAGTATACCATTTTATATATATATGCAATTTTTAGTGGTGGCAACTACAAAACAAAAATGAAAAAAGTATTTCAAGTTTGCCTTTCAAATTCCCAAATGTTACAGATCAATATTTACTGTTGGCAGGTCGAGTAGGGAGGGTATGGAGAAATAATAAAATGGGATTTCTGAATTGTCTTCAGTTTTAGCTATTATCTTTATAATATGAAGAAACTACTGGTTATTCAGAGATTACATACTTATTTTATTTTAATTATAAGTACTTGCAGGCAACTATGTAACTGTGAAATGGATACACACTATGTGCCAACAAGTACATAGAAAATATGATCTGACACATGAGTAAGATTTGAGATCTTCCCCAAATAAAATCACAATTTATTTTAAAAACATCTAGTATTATTTACTACTTTCTCAGTGTATGCCTTTGAAGAAAGTTTCTTGTGTATATGTGGTTAAATCAAGGCTATTATTTGAATAGTACACAGTAAGGCTAAAATTTGTGAATGTTAACATCATATTTTACTGTATGTATATGAGTTTCATTTCTGTAAAATTTGCAGTACTAATTATAGTGTAACTTCACAATCATATAAGATCCTGTACATTTCATTTTATTATTATTATTATTATTTTTTGAGATGGAGTCTCGCCCTGTTGCCCAGGCTGGAGTGTGGTGGTGTGTAATCTCAGCTCACTGCAACCTCCGCCTCCTAGGTTCAAAGATTCTTCTGCCTCAGCCTCCCGAGTAGCTGGGATTACAGATGTCTGCCACCACACCCAGCTAATTTTTGTATTTTTAGTAGAGATGGTGTTTCACCATGTTGGCCAGGCTGGTGTTATTAATTTTTTTAAGATGGAATGTTGTTTTGTCACCCAGCCTAGAGTGGAGTGGCGTAGTCTCGGTTCACTGCAGCCCCTGCCTCCTAGGTTTAAGTGATTCTCCTTGCCTCAGCCTCCCAAGTAACTGGGATTACAGGCACGTGCCACTACGCCCGGCTAATTTTTGTATTTTTTTAGTAGAGACTGGGTTTAGCCATGCTGGCCAAGCTGGTCTTGAACTCCTGACCTTAGGTCATCTGCCTGCCTTGGCCTCCCAAAGTGCTAGGATTACAGGCGTGAGCCACCCTGCCTGGCCTAAGACCCTGTACATTTTAAAACATCCATTTATGCCGGGCGTGGTGGCTGACGCCTGTAATTCCAGCACTTTGGGAGGCCAAGGCGGGCAGATCACTAGGTCAGGAGATCGAGACCATCCTGGCTAACATGGTGAAACCCCGTCTCTACTAAAAATACAAAAAAAATTAGCTGGGTGTGGCAGCGAGCGCCTGTGGTCCCAGCTACTCGGGATGCTGAGGCAGGAGAATGGTGTGAACCTAGGAGGCGAAGCTTGCAGTGAGCGGAGATTATGCCATTGCACTCCAGCCTGGGCGACAGAGCGAGACTCCGTGTCAAGAAAAAAAAGAAAAAAAAAATCCATTTATTTTATTGTATATGAAAAATTTAAACATGTTAGTAGCTATTCCAGGTGATAAAGCCCTCAGGAGTAAGTGATGAGGATTCTGCTGAGGCTTTTTATTTAAAACAGTAATGCCTGGTGGGGAAAGTTTTGGCTCCAGCACTATCTGAAATTTTCTTAGTTTCAGTTTAAATTAGTTTTAGATAATAGATAACTATTGAACTTACATTTTTGGAGACTTCGTAAAATACTGCATGACTTCTGGCCCATTGCGGACACTCAATAAGTGTGGATTTTTCCTATTTAGAAAAACTATATATTAAAATTATAAAAACTTTATCTAATCTTTTATTTTTGTAAATAAGAATTCACTCAATGGTAAATTCTGTTCAGTAATCTTTTATTTTAAATCTCAACTTGACTAAATTTCCAGAGGCTTTGTTTTAGGCAAATGACCATGCTAGGTGTTCTGGTGGATTTAATGATATAAGAAGATGCATTCTGTGCCCACCAAGTCCAAGTCCTCATGTATTGAAGTCCAACAGCTGTAACAGAAATACAGGTTAAAACTTGCTGAGGTAGAATCTTAAAGAAAGTACAGGATACAGGAAACAACATTTAAATAGAGAATGCTTTTATCCAGCATAATATGATGTTCACTATGGTACAAATATCTGACAGCAGTTACCTTAATTATGGATAGTTATACTGTTTTCCTCATACACTGAATCTGTAATTCACAGGACCTACGTCTTTATGTCTGACGGGCTTCCATGAACAAAAATGTCTTCCATAAATCTCCAGGACTTCTTACTATGGCTACCTTGGCCTGCATAGCTATTTACAGCTTTGTCACTACCACATGACTAACCTCTTTCCTTAGTGCAACTTGAGGGAAAACAGCACATTAAAAAAAGTTAATAGAAATTTCTCAATGACAGTTGAAACTACTCCGCCCCATTTCAAAACTGAGGAATTTCCTGAAATGTTTAAATATAAAAAATTCTTCCAAATAGCACGTAGTATCCCATATAGTACATACACCCTTCTGCATTTCCAAATAACAGCCTGTATGATTTCGGAACAGAATTCCTTATTTTCCTTCCCTCCTTCATCTACCAGTTTCGAAGCTGTACCTTTGTATGGAAAGGCGGAATATTTTTCTGTAAGAACTTGGAAGTCGTCAAAGGATTTTCATTTGATGATAAACATGGGGTACTTTCAATGAGATTTCATTAAAACAGGGTATTTACTAAAGTTGAAAAGTTCTTTTAAGATATCAGCTGGAAGGCCGGGCGCGGTGGCTTATGCCTGTAATCCCAGCTACTCCGAAGGCTGAGGTAGGAGCATCGCTTGAATCCGGGAGGAGGAGGTTGCGGTGAGCGGAGATCGCGCCAATGCACTCCAACCTGGGCAACAAGAAACTCCGTCTCAAAAAAAAAAAAAGAAAAAGAAAAAGAAAAAAGAAAACAAAAGATATCAGCTAGAAAGTTGAAAAGGCTCATGATTTTTGCATTTTCCTTTCTCACTCAGGTATGTCAGACACACCCATCTGCACCTTCGTTGCTTTGACTCCTGCAGTTTAGAACCTAAGCAAGGCTTTCAAGTCTGCAAGAGCTGTGTTAATGCCACGGATCTAGGTGTTCCAGCTAATAACCTTAGCCTTAGACCAGTATCAGGCGCACAGAGAGGGTAACCTTGACCGCACCCAAGGCGCCGACCGTCGCCGGCAAGTAGCTGGGTCTCAAAACACTAGTGGAGTAAGACAGCCTGATGCAGACCAAAAGCGCTGGCCCCTCGGGCAAGTTCAAACAGACATCCGGGAAAGGCAAATCCAAGGAGTTGAAAGCCTATGCAGTTAAGACCTCAAATACAGGCCACCACTTGGAGGAGCCTTAAGAGCCAGAAAACAAGAGAATGGGTTAAGCGGGGGCCAGTTAAGTGGCTAGGAGTTAGAAAAGGAGAGCAATGTACAACAAATAAGCAGAGGGCCTGAACAGCAAAACAAAGCCTGCTAAACCAATGGAAAATCCGGGAGGGAGGCGGAGCCCCAGGCAAAACCTGAGGAAACGCTTGAATTTGGAATTTTAAATTAAGCATTACATTGAGGGGACTAAATGCCATTATTTCAAAGGTCTGTTTCCATCAGTGCAGTTTCGTGGTCTAATGTGTCTTGAAAGATTACAGCTCTTTTCATGGAGAAAGTGATTGGCTCTGAAAAGAGCCTTTGGGTTGAAGGTTGGCACTCAAAAAGATTTACGCTCTCTCGCCACGAATGCGGCGGGCAAGCTGGATATCCTTAGGCATGATGGTGACGCGTTTGGCATGGATAGCGCACAGGTTGGTGTCCTCAAAAAGCCCCACCAAGTAAGCCTCGCAAGCCTCCTGCAGTGCCATCACAGCGGAACTCTGAAAGCGCAGGTCGGTCTTGAAGTCCTGAGCGATTTCTCGCACCAGGCGCTGAAACGGCAGCTTTCGGATAAGAAGCTCGGTGGACTTCTGGTAGCGACGAATCTCGCGCAAAGCCACGGTACCAGGGCGGTAGCGATGAGGCTTCTTCACGCCACCCGTAGCTGGAGCACTCTTGCGAGCTGCTTTAGTGGCCAGCTGCTTTCGCGGTGCTTTACCGCCTGTGGATTTACGAGCGGTCTGCTTAGTACGCGCCATACCTCAGCTGCAAAGTAAGTGGGTTAGGAAAATTGGTTTACCCCTCTATTTATATAGGAACAGAATCACTCTGATTGGATTGTGGACAATCCCTGTTAGTGATCGGTTGCTAAATTCCGGATGTGCTCGGAGCGATTCACTATTGGTTTATTTTTTCAGTGCAAGATTCTGATTGGTAAATTTGGATAGAGAACTGGCTCCTTTAAACAAGTTGTTTTTTTGTTACAGGTATCTTTGATGTTTTGCATACAGCATGACCTGCAAAGACATTTATCATTTAACTTGACTGACCTTTTATCCTGTTTAGCTATAAAAAATCGAATGTGTTTGAATTAGAAAATGCTTTAGAATTTTTTTTCAACAATCTCCGCTGCTTTATTCTGCTTAATTTTCCTGAAGTTTTCCCCTTCCCTATCCACTCATTTAAAATCCGTTGTCTAAGTATCTCTCAATGAGTCCTCGTTTCATTAGGGAGTATAGCTAATTCATTCAAACAAGGTTTTCTAAGATACACTGTGTAAACATAAGGAACTTTGTGTTTCATTTGTGTTAGAGTAAAATTCTAACATCTTGGAATCCCTACCTCTGTAATATCAGGTTTGACTCAAATCATTTAACGGTATTATTTTGTTTTGTTGAAATTAAAATGTCCAGACATAATGGCAAGAGCCGTCAAAAAAAGTATTTTCAGTATAGAATCTTGAAAAAGATGGCGGCGAAGAGAGTCTTAGAAGGTTGTTTTTTATAAGACAACAATGGCGCAGTTTCTCTAGATCCCTGTGGGAGAGAACTGAGGTGCCCTGAACAATTTAAGACACGTCCAACAGAACTTTTATAGGACTGGACTCACCCAAATAACAGGACTTCTTAACTTGGTTTTCGCTTCCAAACTCAACAGCTCCCAATTACTTTGAAAATGTAACAAATGTTTACTGCAAAAGATTCTTAAGGAATGACATTATAGCCTAACACAGTGTTTTAAATCAACCTATCGGGTCCCCTGTAAGGTGTTCTTTTCCTAGCCAATAAAAAGAGCAGTTTGGGAATTCTTAATTTACATACTTTTAATCTATTGGCTACTTTGGTTCAGGCAGAGTTTAGATTTACAAGTTCGCGTTTGTGTAACAGTACTATATTTCAGAAAGGGATAGTGCGCATGCGCGCCTGTTGCGAGGTCTAGTTTCTTTTTGTTTTTCTTTCCTATTAGGTTTTCTTTCTTATTGGAAAGCTATTTTGTAAAGTGTTGTAGCAGGTCCGCAATGACGCTGGCATGTAGTCCAAGGAGATTGACATCATGAATATGCTGGAGCCCCCGTCCTCCAGGGAGGGGAGACGGCCAAACCAAATTTCTCGCTGCCCGCAAATGCCTGCGGATGTCTGCAAGCTGGAGGGGGGAGGAGACAAAGAATGTTTTGTGCATTCCTGTTCATTCCTTGAATTCTGTTAAACCTGCCCTATTTTAGGGCATTCATCAAAATTCTGCTAACCACAGGATTGATACAATTGCACCTTTCAAGTTAGTGTCTATTTTGCAAATTTGAATTATCTTAGGACTCATGGGCAAGTCTTGACTGAAGTTACACGTTGTCACGCGTTTCAGTCTCACATCTGAAATATATATGAGTCCCTTGCTTCTCTCCTTTTCAGAAAAAGAAACTTCTGTACACTTTAAATCATGGTAAAACGGTTAGATATGTTGGCAAAATGGTTTTATAAGAAGCAAGAACTGAAATCCTTTTGTACAATATGATCACATATCTGTGGGCTGGGCTGTTTGTTAATGAGAGCTATGCCCTCTCTATGCTTTTCCTCTCAACACTCCCTACATGTCATCTTCTGAGGTCCAAGGCCTGTTTATTGATATTATCTTCTGTTTTCTCATTTTCATTTTACTTTTTTCATTTCTATTATGAGAATGTTAATATCTACAACTAAAAAATGTTTCCGAAATCAAAAGATACACTTTCGGTTAAAGGTTCAAAACACAGTCAGTGAGGACCATTAAGGAAATTCCATCTTTATGCCCCACAGTTTGATTTCCTCCCCAGTGTTCTTAAATCTGTCAATCCGGTGTTTTGCCATCTGAAGCTGCCTTCAGTTCCTTTCATAATCCTCATCTCTAAATATGTGTAAAGCTTTATTTTAGAACTCAGTGCAAAGTTTACCTGATTACATAAGAACTTACCAGCTCACTTGTATTAATCAGTATTTTCTATCATTATCTCCATACTTGAACACAATTTCCCATAGGATCTGTGTTTTGTGATAAAACAGTCAGAAACCAGTTGTGGCTACTGAGCATTTGAAATGTGGCTGTTGCTGCTGAGGACTGACTTTCTTTTTTTTGAGGAGTCTTGCTCTGTCACTCAGGATGGAGTGCAGTGGCATTATCTCAGCACACTATTACCTCCACCTCCTGAGTTTAAGCGATTCTCCTGCCTCAGCCTCCAGAGTAGCTGGAATTAGAGGTGCTGGTCACCACGCCCGGCTTATGTATTTGGGGGGGGGGCGGGGGGGAGGTATTTTTAGTAGAAACGGGGTTTCACCATGTTGGCTCGGCTGGTCTGGATCTCCTGACCTTAAGTAACCCGTCCGCCTTGGCCTCCCAAAGTGCTGGGATTACAGCCATGAGTCACCGTGCCAGGCCTGAACTTTTATTGTACTTATTTTTCGTTATTTTATTTCAAAAGCTGATACTCCAGTTATTGGAAAATGTTAGATATGTTTTGAACAATCACATATATGAATTTAATTCTACATCATTGAAGTTTATGAAATCACAATGAAATTCCATTTACTTCCAACAAACATTTAATACCAAATTGAATAGGATGTCCCTCATATTTAGAAGACTTAAGATTTAAAAAAGAATGTGAAATATTGCATTAATAATGTTTTTATATTGACTATATTTTGAAATAATGATTTTGTATTTTGGGTTAAATATAATAATTGTTAAAATTCTTTTACCAGTTTATTAATTTTTAAAGTGTGCTTACTGGAAAAATCAACATTACATATGCAGCTTATATTATTCTTTTTTATTTTATTCTTATTTTTTGAGGCAGCGCCTCGCTCTGTCACCCAGGCTGTGGGATTACAGGCAGCAGCCACCACACCCAGCTAATTTTGGTATTTTTAGTAGAGACGGGGTTTCACCATTTTGGCCAGGTTGATCTCGAACTTCTGACCTCAGGTGATCCGCCTGCCTCGGCCTCCCAAAGTGCTGGCATTACAAGCGTGAGCCACCGCATCTGGCCGTGGCTTGTGTTATTCTTTATAAATAGCATTGTTCCAGGATTCTCCATTTCTCTTCTCTGTTTCTTGATTCTTTACCAAATCTTGACAGCATACGCCTTGAAACAATGAGGATATTCAATATACTTCTATGAACCCAGTTATAGCATCTGGACTTAATCTACAATAAGTATCTATATTTATATCTACATCTACATGTCTATACAGTTGTGTTAGGGAACTAAGGGGGCTTGTTAAACCATTACTCATTGAGGCAAGAAGAGGTGGGTAACTAGCAAAATTATTGATGTTTGAATTTTCCATGGCAAAATATCAGTAAGTGAACAGTATTAGAAATTCTTTTAGCCAGGCACAGTGGCTCAGGCCTATAACACCAGTGACCCAGGAGGCTGGGGCAGGAGGATTGCTTGAGACTAGGAATTTGAGGCTCCAGTGTCATAATTGTGACACTGCACCCCAGTCTGGGCAACAGAGCAAGACCAAAAAATGAAAAAAAAAAAAAATAAGAGAAGTATTATATGAATATTTTTCTCTCTATCGTATGTTTTTGAGGGACAGCATCCACAACTGCTAATTCTGGTGTTTAAAAAAAGGGGAAGAGAAATCACTGTGGAAGCACAATGCCATTTCATGAAAAGAAGAAAGTCCAGAAAATAATTTGCCATTCCTGGAAGCTACATAAACTCCAAGAAAGACTCAGATAAGAACATCAGGTCAATTTCTTTGAAGTCTAAAAAGAATAAAAAATTAAAGTGTTTATTATTTTATAGGAGCCAAGGCAAGCTCTGAAGCTTTGCTGAAAGATTAGCTTGCAAAAGGCAGATTAACTGTAGAAAAGTTACACAAATTTATTAACGTGTTCAAGGAAGCCTTTAGAATGAAAACACAAAAGATACAAGAAAAAATTGTCCACTTTTATGCTTAGGTTCAACAACATATGGACAACCTTGTAGAAATTTGATTGGATAAAAAGGGTATGATGTAATGTTAATAAACTGAGTGGAGAAACCCAGCAAGGCTTGTTTATCTAGACTCTTCTTGGCCTCTGTCAACTGAAGAATGAGAAGGTTTATACATTTGCAAAGGAGAGCTTTATTTCTCAAAGTATTGCAGCCTGCAAGGTGGCCAATCTGACAGGCTGGGAAGGGTAGCCTTGGTTTGCTGAGAGACAGGGAGTTGGAGGGAAGGAGGGAGGGATAAAACAGGAATTTTTGAGGAATGGGTGAGCCAAATATACTTATTTAACAGGTTATAGGAGGAGCTATGAATATTCATGAAGGAGACCCAAGCACATGTGTATTAAGTTTACATGTATGTAACATATGTCACATGATCACTTTGGGGTGAAGATTTAACATGTAAATGAGTTATAATTAGGTCCTATATATAAAACTGAAATGTAGGGCAGAAGTCTATGATCCGCATTCTGAGGAGACTGGTCACATTCAGTTGCAGGCCTGCAGTCATTTATCAAGAAACTCTATGGTCCTTAATACCTGTCTTGTCTGGACCACCATGGAGAAGGGTGGAAGGGGCCAGATAAAGTAAGTAAAGGGGCTTTCTGGTGTATTATTCCCTCAAATCGGACTTTGAGAAAATCTAGCAGTGATCAGAAAGGGGAAGAAGGGTATAAACAAACAGGATGTGCAGCCTCCATCCTGTCATGCCTGGGAACTTAAACTTTTGGGATCGTTTAGCTAAAGGAGGGTCCATTATTCTGTCAAAGGGGTTTAGAATGTTCATTTCATCCCTCACCTCTTTGAACATGCATTCCTTCCTTCTGGGTATTGAGTATGGGACAGCTCCATCTCTGGAATGGGGTGTTATGACCTGCAATTAAACAAGGTGGGTCAAATAATTTCTCTGTGGTCAGTTGTTACACAAAAAGGTGGAAGGGAAGTTAGAGTAATATTTTTAGTTTTTATGGCTGGCTTTGGGGAAAAAGGATTCTGGTTGTCATAAGCCACGCTGGGAAAGAGGAATTTTAGTTTCTATGTCTAGCCTCAGAAGAGAATGGGACTGAGAGACAGGAGGGCAGGAGAAAGTCAGAGAAAAATTTTGCTTCTGAGGTTGCTTCTTTGGCCTTCATTTTGGGGTATTGTTTCTGAGCCCGAATTTGATTAATGAGTAAAGGATGTCAAGGAGTTTTACTATGGGGCTTCATAGACATTTTTTCTTGCAATTGCTATATTTTTATCTTGTTTTAGTTAAAATGTAGTTTAAGAAAAATCATAAGATTTCTAAGGAAAAACAGGAGGGCACATAATGTGTCCCATTATAAAACATTTATAGTTTTTACAGAGTTTGCAGGGAAATGTGCTTTCATCATCTCACAATTTACTATGGATTAAAGGTATCACACTTCTTGAAGTTACTTCTTGGAGGCTTTTGTCTGGTGATGCAAATAATTTCTGTTATTTGTATCACCAGAAATTATTTTTGATGCTAATTATTTTTGATGCAAATTATTTGTGATGCAAATAATTTCTGTTCAGTGGAACAGATATAACTCCAATTATTTAGGACCCTTGGGGCATTAATTTTTTTTGTAATCTCATTCAGCAACCTTGTCCTGATATTTAAGAAAGGGCAGCTTTTCCCTTAAGTAGCTCAGTGACTTCTGGTAGGGACGGAGTTTGCCATGATTCAGGGCCTGTATCTGAGTGACATCTTCAAGCTGTTGGTGGCCAGAGTGCTCTTGCTGGCTGCCTTGGTGGCCAGCTGCTTAGGAGGCTCTTTGCCACCAGTGGACTTTTGTGTGGTTGGCTTGGTGTAGGCCATGACCTTTCATATCAGATTTACAGATCAGTTCTCTTTTTTTTTTTTTTTTTTTTTTGAGACAGAGTCTCACGCTGTCGCTCAGGCTGGAGTGCAGTGGCCCGATCTCAGCTCACTGCAAGCTCCGCCTCTCGGGTTTGCGCCATTCTCCTGCCTCAGCCTCCTCAGTAGCTGGGACTACAGGCGCCCGCCACCTCGCCTGGCTAGTTTTTTTTATTTTTTAGTAGAGACGGGGTTTCACTGTGTTAGCCAAGATGTTCTCAATCTCCTGACCTCATGATCCGCCCGTCTCGGCCTCCCAAAGTGCAGGGATTACAGGCTTGAGCCACCGCGCCCGGCCCAGATCAGTTCTCTTTACAGAGCCTGGTGTGATGCAATTAGTTTTGAGATTTTTTTTGTGGAGCAATGTGACTAGATTTCTACTAAAGTTGAATAATTATGCTTTACAGTGTAGTCCATTTATAAATTTCGGTCATAAAGCTAAGTTTTTGCTGCTGTTTTTTTTTTTTTTTTTTTCCTAAACAGGATCTTGCTTTGTCCCCCATAGCTCACTGCAGCTTCGAACTCTTGGGCTCAATCAATCCTTCCCCGCCTACTTCTCCCAAGTACCTAAGATCTCAGACCAAGCCACCATGCCAGGCTAACTTTTTCCTTTTTTTTTTTGAGACGACGGAGTCTCCCTCTGTTGCCCAGGCTGGAGTACAATGGCACCATCTCGGCTCACTGCAACCCCCGCCTCCTGGGTTCAAGTGATTCTCCTGCCTTAGCCTCCCAAGTAGCTGGGATTTCAGGAGCCCACTGCCAGGCCCAGCTAATTTTTTTGTATTTTTAGTAGAAACCTAATTTTTAGGTTTTGCCATGTTTGCCAGGCAGGTCTCAAACTCCTGACGTCAAGTGATCTGCCCACCTCGGCCTCCCACAGTGCTGGGATTACAGGCGTGAGCCACCGGGCAGGGCAGGCTTTTTACTTTTTGTGGAGATGAAGGGGGTGTCTGGCTTTATTGCCCAGCCCGGTCTTGATAACCTAGGCTCATGCGATTCTTCTGCCTTGGTCTTTCAAATTGCTGGAATTACAGGTCTGAGCGAGGGCGTTAGGCCATTACAGCTGTTTCGTTTAGTGTTGATTTTAGAATACTGTGTTAATTGCGCTTTTTGAAAAGAGAAACCCAACAAACACAAATCTCACTGGAAGAATGTGGTCTTTTTTTTTTTTTTTTTGAGATGTAGTCATGCTCTGTTGCCCAGGCTGGAGTGCAATGGCGCGATCTTGGCTCACTGCAGCCTCTGCCTCCCAGAATCAAGCGCTTCTCCTGCCTCAGCCTCCCAAGTTGCTGGGACTACAGATGACCGCCACCACGCCTGGCTACTTTTTGTATTTTTAGTGGAGACGGGCTTTCATTATGTTGGCCAGGCTGATCTCAAACTCCTGACCTTGTGATCCGCCCGCCTTGGCCTCGCAAAGTGCTGGGATTACAGGCATGAGCCACTGAGCCCAGTCGGAATGTAGTCATTTTTAAAACTTAAAAAGCCCGCCCTGAAATGCTAATGGGCAGCTATCCTTCTTTGTTCTCTTATTACTGTATCAATCTTTCAGCCTTTTCTGACAAGTGCACATGAATAAACAGCCTATGTGAAATAATAAAACGTATACACACCATGGACTTATACACAAAATAACGTAGTGACACACCTTGAGGTGTTACAACATCAGTTCCTATTCTTGTGTACCTTTATAAACGCGTTTTTACTGCAGACACACCAGTAAGACAAATTAGTGCACGAAATGTGAGCAAGGATTTCAATAATGAACTGACCAGTAACGTTAGAAGCATTCGTAAAACTAGAACAGGGTTTCAAGGATTGTATGTGTATTCCAGCACTTTACAGAAAAAATGGGTGGCTCTGAAAAGAGCCTTTGGTTTCTGGGACTCGGGGTCACTGATGGACTCGACTAGTAATCATTTCACTTGCCCTTGGCCTTATGGTGGCTCTCCGTCTTCTTAGGCAGCAGCACGGCCTGGATGTTGGGCAGGACACCGCCCTGCGCAATGGTCACGCGACCTAGAAGCTTATTTAGCTCCTCGTCGTTGCGGATGGCTAGCTGCAGGTGGCGCGGGATGATGCGGGTCTTCTTGTTGTCGCGAGCCGCGTTGCCAGCTAGCTCCAAGATCTCAGCGGTCAGATATTCCAGCACCGCCGCCAGGTACACCGGAGCGCCCGCCCCGACTCGTTCGGAATAGTTGCCCTTGCGGAGGAGGCGGTGGACACGGCCGACTGGAAACTGAAGCCCGGCCCTGGAAGAACGCGTTTTAGCCTTTGCCCGAGCTTTGCCGCCTTGCTTTCCACGTCCAGACATAGTGGCTTCCTAGCAGCAGAAGAGATAACAACCAACAGGATAAAGAAAAAGAATGTGCTCGATGGAGGAATAAGAAGCTAGTTATAGTCGTAGGTAGAATTGTAAAAGGCGCAGTTTGATTGGTTAAAATTATTCTTTGACGAAACAACCAATTAGAAAGGAAATAAGGTGAAAGCTATTTTACATGTATGCGTCACTAACACATTGCCCAATCACTGCTGAATAATTTGAATTCTTTATTTGCATAAAAGACGTATAAAAGGAGAGACTCTAGACACGAGCTGTTATTTAAGTGCTTTCATCCTTACTGTTGTTTTTATTTTCTGACAATATGCCCGAGCCAGCTAAGTCAGCTCCTGCTCCGAAGAAGGGCTCCAAGAAGGCTGTGACCAAGGCGCAAAAGAAGGATGGCAAGAAGCGCAAGCGCAGCCGTAAGGAGAGCTACTCCGTATACGTGTACAAGGTGCTGAAACAGGTTCACCCCGATACCGGCATCTCGTCGAAAGCCATGGGCATCATGAATTCCTTTGTAAACGACATCTTCGAGCGCATCGCAGGCGAGGCTTCCCGCCTGGCGCACTACAACAAGCGCTCCACCATCACCTCCAGGGAGATCCAGACGGCCGTGCGACTGCTGCTTCCCGGAGAGCTGGCCAAGCACGCAGTGTCCGAAGGTACTAAGGCTGTCACCAAGTATACAAGCTCCAAGTAAATGTGTGCTTAGTCACTTTAGAACTCAAAGGCTCTTTTCAGAGCCACTCAAGTCTCACATAAAGAGCTTTAATGCTGAATATCACCGTTTTCTAGGGAATAATTTTTCCAATTTTGTAGTTCCAGCACTTTGGGAGCCCGAGGCGTGTGCGGATCTAGACTAGCTTACCTAACATGGCTAAATCCCGTCTCTACTAAAAATGCAAACAATTTGCCGGGCGTGGGGCAGTTGTCTGTAATCCCAGCTACTTGAGAGGCTGAGGCAGGAGCATCTTGAACCCGGAAGGCGGAGGTTGTAGTGAAATGAGATGGCGCCTTTGCATTCCAGCCTGGGCGATAAGGGCGAGGCTTCGTCTCAAAAAAAAAAAAAAAAAAAAAAAAAAAAAAAAAAGAAGCCCTAGCTACACGTATTCAATGTTGTTAAGATCCTGTAATCCCAGCAGTTTGGGAGGCCGATGCATGAGGCTCGATTCAGCTCAGGAGTTAACAGGTTTACCTGGGTAATATACTGAGAACTCATCTCTGCAAAAAATGAAACTAACCGGTTGTGACTCGTTGCGTCTGTACTATCACTTACTCGGTAGGCTGAGGACGTAGGATAGCTTTAACTGGAGCTACAGGCTGCAGGAAGATGTGATCACGCCACTGCAATTCCAGCCTGGGCGACACTGGTAGGGGTAGGAACAGTAGTCTTTGGGTCCCTGAAGATCACCTGACAAGTTTGACTCTTCTGAGCATTCTGTTGTGGAGTTTGTTGTGGAGGGACTACCATGGGCATTGGCAATGTAAAGTTGAGCTAAAAATCTCGTTTTGGGCCGGGTGCGGTGGCTCACGCCCGTAATCCCAGCACTTTGGGAGGCCGAGGTGGGCGAATCACGAGGTCAGGAGATCGAGACCATCCTGGCTAACATTGAAACCCCGTCTCTACCAAAAAAATACAAACAAAATTAGTCGGGCGTGGTGGCACTTGCCTGTACTTACAGCTACTCCGGAGGCTGAGGCTGGAGAATCCCTTGAACCCGCGAGGCGGAGGTTGCAGTGAGCCGAGATCGCGCCACTGCACTCCATTCTGGACGACAGAGCTAGACTCTGTGTATATAAATATATAAATATATACATATATAAAAATATATACATATAAATATATACACATGTAAATATATATACTATATATAAAAAAATATATATAAATATACATACATATACCTTTGAACCCGGGAGGCGAGCCTGGTGGATCACTTGAGGTCAGGGGTTCAAAAACAGCCTGACCCACATGGTGAAACCCCGTGTCTACTAAAAATACAAAATTAGCCGGGTGTGGTGGCGCATGCTTGTAACCCCAGCTACTACGGAGACTGAGGCAGGAGAATCGCTTGAACCCGGGAAGCGGAGGTTGCAGTGAGAAGATCGTGCCATTTCACTGCAGCCTGGGCAACAGAGGGAGACTCCGTCTCAAACACAGAAACCATTAGTTTATACTCATTAATCAAATTTCTAAAATGGGAACAACAACAACAAAAAAAGGTCGCTACTCCATAGTACTCCATGAGCAACCTCAGGTTTCTGAAAACGACAACATAGCACTCCAAAGTATGGTGCCTTGACACTGAACATTCTAAGAAATTAGTAGAACAACATAGACAGGAATGTTCTTATGACCTTCCTCTGAAGCAGGTCTTAAGACCTTCCTGTGAGTCTTGCAGAGTATGAGAGGAATCGGAACAAATAGACATTGCTCGATTTCTCCTTGTTTATTATCCTTGGCTCATATTATTTTTGTCTCGTTATATTTCTGCATGACTCTCTACTCTTCATCAAACCTAGTGCAAAAACACTCAGGTTTAACCCCTTCTTCAGGTCTTTATTTCCTTATGTCATGTAAAACTTTATATTAAATGTATATGTTTTTCTCTTGGCCAGGCGCCGTGGCTCACGCCTGTAATCCCAGCACTTTGGGAGGCCGAGGCGGACGGATCACGAGGTCAGGGGATTGAGATCATCCTGGCTAACAAGGTGAAACCCCGTCTCTACTGAAAATACAAAAAAAATTAGCGGGGAATGGTGGCAGGCGCCTGTAGTCCCAGCTACTCCGGAGGCTGATGCTGGAGAATGGCGTGAACCTGGGAGGTGGAGCTTGCTGTGAGCCAAGATCGCGCCACTGCACTCCAGCCTGGGCGACATAGCAAGACTCCCTCTCAAAAAATAAACAAATAAATAAATTTAAAAAATAAATGTGTATGTTTTTCTCTTGTTAATCTGTATTTTGTTTCAGGGCCCCAGCCAATGAACATAAGATGGGTAAAAGGAAACACTCTTTCCTCCCCTACAACACACACTAGGGGTGGATGTGCATCTGTGTTCTGTGTGTTTGTCTTTGTGGAGTACAAAAGCTGGCATAACATAGAAAAGGTGTGGAGAAAAGTAATCCTAGAATGAAAATATTTGAGAAGTGTGTTTGCTAGGGCTTCCACAACAAACTACCAAGACTGTGTGGCGTAAAAAAATTAATTTTGTCACAATTCTGAAGGCTGCAAGTTCAAGATCAACCCAGTGAGCACGATTGATTTTTTCTTGGGCCACTCTCCTTGGGGTTTCCCCTCTCTGGTCTTTCCTCTGTGTGTGTGGTTTGTTTTTTAATATAATCTTATAAGGTCAGTAGTCAGATTAGATTAGTACCCACCCCTAAAACCTCATTTTACACCTTTAAAGACCTTATCTCCAAATAAAGTCACATTTTCAAGTACTCGGTATTGGACTTCAACGTTTGAATTGTGGGCTGGGGACAGGCAATTCAGTCGATATCAAAAATTATGGTGATTAAGCTTCTAAATAGTACACGAAATAAGTATTTCACAGGCATATCAAACTCAGCGCAACTAAAACATACCTTATGATACACTACCTAGCTTCACTTACTCATCCAACTTTGAAATCTAGTCCCCATTCCAGAGTATTCCCTTTTCTTTTATGCAAATACTTAAAAATATACGTCTTACTGATTCTAACTTCTAATTTTATGTTAATATTGTCCATATTTTTGTCTACTGTGGCTAAAAACTGGAAATATTAATGTTGAAGAGTTAGACTTTGCCTAAAACTAGGTTTTATCCCTAATGGAATATTATGCAGCTGTTAAAAATAATGCTTTTAAAAAAGATAAACGACATAAAATATGCTCATTGCATTGTATAGGGTAAATCCAAGTTGCCAAATAGCGTATTCTTATTTATGTGACATCACACACACACACATTCACACGCACACACACACTATATAGTTTTAGGAAAAAAGAGTGACTATAAGGGTCAATGCCAAAATGTTAAGAGTGCTGTTACATTTTTTTTGGTGCAATAGCTCCTCTGAAGGTAGCTTTCTCTATTTGTCTCTATCCAAAACTCTCCATGGTGTGGTTAAGAAATAGGAAACTCTCCCTAGGCCCTTTCCTCTCCAAGTCTCCCTGCCCTATGTTAAGAAAAATTAATTTATTCCACAGGTAATCACTGAGCACCAACTATGTACCAGCTATTATCCTATGCAATACAAAAATGAATAGAGTAAATTTAAGATATACTTACTAAGGAAATTGAAAATCAAGACAATAGAATATCCTCGCATAAAAGGAAAAAAATTTTAAAAGTGTGAAATGACTGTAAGGAACAGGGGAACAAGAAGGATTAAGGCCAGAAAGTGACATAATTTACGGTCAGGTCATGGTTACCTCTGGGGGCAGTAGCAGGAAGATGAGAGATGAGGTCAAAGCAGTTCTTGGTAATATAACAAATATAATAGACATAACCAATATATTTGATTGATAATTGGGTTCAAGCATGGCCATCATATTATTCTTTATAACTTGTATATCGATTTGTTACATTTTTAAATGTATCTAGAAGTACAAACTTAAAAGCAAGTAAAGAAAAAATAATCTACAAACATGTTTGTGGAAAATCACTTCAACTTCTATAAAAAGAACTTCTGCAAACTATGAAATATTGCTTATAGCAAAAATTTGGTTATAAAAAAGGAAAACTCTCCTTATACTCCAAAAGACTGTAGATGCTGAAAAAAGAGTGGGTGCTTAACAAAAATCTCTGCTACTATATAAAACTTGATTTTTTCCCCCCTTTTTTCCTTTTTTTTTCAGATGGAGTCTCTTTCTGTCGCCCAGGCTGGAGTGCAGTGGTGTGATCTTGGCTCACTGCAACCTCCACTTCCCGGGTTTGAGTAATTCTCCTGCCTCAGCCTCCTGACTAGCTGGGACTACAGGCCACATGTGTGCCACCATGCTAATTTTTGTATTTTAGTAGAGATGGGGTTTCACCATGTTGGCCAGGCTGGTCTCGAACTCCTGACCTCAGGTGATCTACCTGCCTTGGCCTCCCAAAGTGATGGGATTACAGGTGTGCGCCGCTGCGCCTGGCCTATGATACTTGTTTTTTAAGGGATTCTTCTTGAAATATACTCCTTTTCTGCCAGGGAAAGGAAATACTTCACATGTACGCTGAAGTATTTCATTTCATCATTTGTAAATTTGTTTAGATTTACATTTATTTCATTCATATCCATTCATTCAGGCACTTGTTCAGATAAATTAAACACATAATTTGAATTCAATATACTAAATGCAAGAAGTAGTTTTGTAAAAGATATGAAAATTGTTTTACATAATCAGAACAGTTGCTGGGTTAGGAAAGGGATTTTGTGTGGTTCCCTGTTGTTCAGAAGAAAGTCTACATTCCTGTCATTGGCCTAACATGCCTCCAAACTTGGCACAAACCCACTTGTCCAAGCATCAACCATCACTTCCAATACTGACATGATTTATACTATTGTCTGAACTTCTATTTTCTTTTATTTTTTCTTTAGAGATGGAGTCCTGTTCTCATTGCCCAGACTGGAGTGCAATGGCACGATCTCTGCTCACTTCAGCCTCTGCCTCCTGAGTTCAAGTGATTCTCCTGCCTCAGTCTCCCAAGTAGCTGGGATTACAGGCGTTT